GCTCTTCCAATTGCTGGTGGGACAGTCCCGCTCTTCCAATTGCTGGTGGGACAGTCCCGCTCTTTCAATTGCTGGTGGGACAGTCCCGCTCTTTCAACAGTTAGTGGGACAGTCCCGCTCTTTCTACAGTTAGTGGGACAGTCCCGCTCCTTCAACAGAGTTAGTGGGACCATCCCTCTTTCAACAGTTAGTGGGACTGTTGGACTGTGGGAATGTTCCAACCTTTCAACAGTAAGACTGTTCCACTTTAAAAAAAAATTCTCGTTCAACTGTACCTGTTGATCCACCCTGGGCCCTCAGGTTGCTGCGAGGCTGCTGTCTGGCAAAGGGGTTATTTCAAGACCCTATAATTGTGAGAACACGTCGAAGTCTTATTGCATCTCCCCCGCACCACTGCCCTCGATCGATACTTAGTTGATGAACCACGACCTTACCCGGCGGTTTGGTACTGCGTTCGCCTCCGGGTGCTGCGTCTTCATTCCGTCGCCGGCTCTTCTCTTTTAGGCGTCCTCATTTGCTTCTGCCTCGCCTCTTCTTCCACTGCTGCTTGCGCCAGATTCTTTTGTTGTTCCGAACCGTTCGTTTTCATTAACGGGAGACACTTTGGGCCCGGGAAAAGGGGGGAGGGGGGGGGGTGGCAGGCACGTGGCCAGTAGGAAGTAGCCAACTCAGCCTTAATGCGCCGCTCTGGTAGCTAGCTACCAAGTCTCTCGCCTTCACCCTGACGCTGGGACCTGGGCCTCCTAGCGGCCTTTCGTTACTTTTTAGACACATTAATTTCCTTAATGATCGTTAAATGTTTTGTCTGCAGGTCTGCCCTCAATATTCGTCCTCGCCTGGGTCATCGTCAGGATATACGTGGAGAACGACCTTTGTTGGACGACCAACAACAGCCCCGTCATATTTCTGCTTGTCCGAGTTCCGATCACCGTCTCCATAGTCGTAAGTAGAGACTATCCTCCTACCTGGTTATATCTTTGAGCTTTGCAGTACTGAAGTCACCGCGTTTCTAAAAATCGACGTTGGACTTTAATTAAGGTTCTTTATTATACTATCTTATTTCGATCTGCAGTTTAAAATAAAAGGTTAAATAGTTTGAACTGATTTTGATTCACTGTTAAAAAAATCGATTGTAATTTTACAAATTTTGTTGGCAACTTTTTACGCAATTCAATGTTTGTAAAATTACAAATGTTTCCTAATTTTCAGAAGACAGATTTGAATTTTCAGAAAACTGTTATGAATTCTAATAACTAATTGCAAAATTGACAATGTTATGAAATTTCCCAACCACGTTTGCAATTTTACAACTGATTTTGATGTGAAATTTCACAACTTTTTTAACAGTGTTAACAGTTCTCCAAATGTTCTTAAATTGTAGACTTTATTTTTATTTTTTTCTAGTGTCTGATTCATTGGTTGTGATTTGGAATCAGGCGTCAGACGCGTTTCGAAACGACACAGTGTCGTTAATAAACTTCCCCCGCGAGCTCGTTACACGGACCTTCCCTCGGGCCCGGATGGAGCCCGGATGTTCGTCACTATCGCCGCGTGTCCTGGACGTCGTCCTGGGCGTCCCGTCCCGCTCGGGAAGGATCAGAGGGGCGTTGATCTCCGCACGCGGCCCTCGTAAACTTTTATAACACGTAATCCGCTGACGGACTGACCGGACCTGCCCCCACCTACCTCCCGTTGCCTGGTCCCCCATCCATCCCTCGTCACCATCTCTCGCACCCCC